CAGCTAACATTATACTTAATAGTATAAATGCTTTCCTCCTAAGAACAGGAACAAAGCAAGAATGCCCATTCTGGTATTTCTAGTAGTGCAATAAACAATGAGGTAGAAGACCTCTAGATTGGAAAGGAAAAAGTAAAATTATCTCTATTTACAGATAGCTCATTTTTTAAAATACTGATTACATGTTGAAATGATAATAGTTTATATGTTTGGGGGTTAAGTATTATATATTAATGAAATTAATTCCATTTTTTCCTAATTTTCAATGTAGCTACTAGAATTTAAAATTTTATATATGGATCATATATGTCACTCACATCTTATTCCTGTTGGACAGTTAGGTCAGAGAGATAGGTAAGGGCCAAATCAGACCTTAGGGATCCACAGTGAAGATTAATATCTTTATCCTAGGGACAATATGACTATTAATGGGATTTAAATAGGGAGAGACACATGAGAAACAGATTGCAGGAGGCAAGAGTGAACTCAAAGTAATCAATTAGGAGGCTGGGGTGAAGGGGAGGTAGGAGAGAATTGTATATGCTGAGGATGGAGTTGAGGACCTGGAGCCAAGCTAAGGAGTTCAGACAGGGACACTGGGAAGGCCTTAGCTAAAATATTTGCTACTTGTTGGTACTGTCGCTGTTTATTTCTGGCTAAGGAATGTTCAGAGAAAAGTACAATATGTTAATTTTCAAACATTTCCTCAGTGATAATTACAATGAAGTAAAATTTATAAACAACAGATTTGGAAAAGGAGTAATTATCAAGATAAAAAAGCTTTTAGTCAGAAGTTTGCAAACTAATGAAAGAAATGTCAAAGTGTTGGCTTCTGTTAAGTACTTTTCAAGGTAGTTCATTTCTCTTTAATTTTAGATTTTGTAATTTTTTTCCATTAAGAATTAAAAAATCGTATTTCTACATGGCCTATTTCCAGATAGACTGCTAAGTTGAAAAGACTGACAATATTGACCAAAGGAAAATGTTAAGTGTTTTCTAGATGTCATGAGTCAAGTCCTTGCTGTAAGGAGATTCTTCTTGTTTTCTCTTCCACCAGGGCTGTACTCTCTCTACCTCAGTTCTATGCTCCAAACTGTATCTATTTTTTACTTCCCTTTATCTCTATCTGACCTTAAGTCCTCTGTTTGATGAATTACCCAGGTTCTTAGGGACCCACCTTATTTCCTCTGATTTATTTTGGGGATTGGGAAACTGTTGGAGGAGGTAAGGGAAGGGGTAGTTTTGCTTCAGTCTTTCGATATTTAAACATACTCCCGCCCCAATCTGGTGGAACTCAGGCACGAGGGGCAATCAGGACTTCCTACTAATTGGCCCAAATTGGTTTCAACCCCCTGTCCTAGTGTGGGTTAAGAAAAGGGGAGGAAGTTGTGCACCACTCCTGTGGAGTCCAGGATACTTTCAGGAGACTAGGCTGGTTCTCATGGCTCTGTGGAGACCCAAAGTCCACTTCAAATCCCAGTCACTTGAAGCTGACTTCAATTCTAGTTCAGTTCTAGAGTTCTACCTGTCTCTCAGACTGTATGAATGATTTGGGGGTGGGCTAAAATTTTCTGGTTCCTCTTTAGAACAGGGTGCTTCTCCCATGTCTCATTCTTAACTCCTCTGTCCACCCTGTAGATTGCTGGTCTCTGAGAGGGGGAAGGATGGAGGAATGGAGAAAAGCAGCTGAAGAGGAGAAGGAAATTATTACCCATCAATTTCACTCATATACCTATGGTATTCTTGCTGGTTTCCTGTGTTAGCCTCAAAGGGTACTTCTAGGAAAAAAAATATAAAAGGCAGAGAGAGCAAGAAGGAGCACAGGGGAAAAGAAGAGAGGATGGGATCAACTCTATATCAAATAATCAAATTGGGGATTCTCAATGTCAAAATTAATACTATTTCAGAGGGTTTTTCTCCCCTACAAATTCTACAAAATTAGGTTATGAACTACACTCACTTATAGATAAAAGGAGTGAAACCCATCTAGGTGAGTTCAGTTCCCTGAGGCCACAAAGCGAGGCGGACATCAATGCAGAACAGGCCTGTCTCCTGACTCACTGTGTAACCTCTCACCACAACATGGCTCATTGCTCACACTCAGCATCTGAGTCATCTCTGTGAATTCTTCCTTCATAGCTGACCCAGAGTCCATTTCCTCTTTTCCTTCCCCGCTGCCATTGCCTGGCGCCCGGGCTTTGCGACCTCTCACTTAGGCTATTGGCAACAACCTCCCCTCTGGTCCGTAGCCGGGTCACTGTCACTCTTATCTTCCCAACCACCAATGTGAGATTAATCCAGCCAATGCACATTTCTCATGGAAACATCCCTCTAAGAAGCTTTTAACAACTTCCTGCTGCCTAATTTATTAAGTGTTAAAAACTCTAGCCTGGTGTGCATGGTCTGCCAATGAGCCAGAACTATGCTCTGCACTCCAGCCCAAAGCACCCTACACTCTGAGCACTCCCAGAACTCTTGTAACTCACTGTCTTTGCTTCTGTGCCTTCTCCTAGGAAGTCCCACTTGTGACCCTCACTGGATCAATTCATATGCTACCGCACCCATGAAGCCCTCCTAATTCCTCCAGCTCTGAAATCCTGTGCGCCTACATAACACGTTTTCTTGTACCGTGATTCTGTATATGCATGCCCCATCTCTAATGTTAGACTGAGCTCCTTGAGGACAATGACCTGTGTCTATTTTGTCTTTCAATCTCCAGGGCCAGGCACAGTGGAAAGACATGATAAACAATGTGTTTTGAAAGAATAAACTCCTTTTAGAAGGATAGACTCTGCTACAATGTATATCATTAATTTAAGTGATTTTCTTTAGGTTGCAAAGTCTTTTATAGTAGAAACTTTCTTTCATATTGTGCTCAGAGCTTCATAGTCCATGCAATGATAAACACAATTAACTGCCCAGGCTAACTGAGCTGAATTAATGCAGTAAAAAGATTTCACCAATTCCCTTCTTCACTATAGTTGCTCAATAGCTATTGAAAGGAATAATAAAATTCTCCAAAGATCACTGCAATGTTTATGAATATATATAACTTATTATTAGTTAATGGAGCTTTTTAGATTCTCAATAAGCTTTCAGCGCACACAGCACTAAGATCACACATAACCAGTCACAACAACCTAGTCTCTACTGTAATTAAGTGTACACCAGGGATATGTAAACAAAATATCTTCATTATTTGAGATTTTTAAAATCAAGGAGAAATTAAACTGAAAATTCATCACATTAAAAAAGACATGTTTTTCTTTTTCATTTTTAATCTGACTTAAAATTAAATATATATTATTTATTATATATATATATATATATATATATATATATATATATATATATATATATATATATATATATGAAGGGGATTCCCCCCCCAAAAAACCCCCAGAATTATATTTTGGAGAGTGGGCCCCTCACAGTACACAGGCTTCCCTGGCGAGGTGACTATTCTAGAAATCCATTTGTATCAGTGTACCCGCCAGTGTTGTTGTGAGAGGCTGTATTCAGCCTCAGTGAATTGTTTTTAAAGACTCTTTCAATGCATTTGCCCATTTCATGATGGGTGGTTTACAAGTGCACCTGCCCACGCTTTTTTACCAAAAACTGCAAGGCCTCTATGCCCCACCCTCTCTATTTACCAGATCTTGCCCTGAATGACTTTTTTTGTTTGCTTGTTTTCCTGGATGAAAAAAACCCCTCAAAGAGAAATGTTTTGCTGATGTGGAAGAGATGAAACAAAAAATGGCCAAAGCACTAAGAGGCAACAAAATCAACGAGTTCAAAAAGTGTTTTGGGCAGTGGGAAAAACATATTGATAGGTGTATTGCATCAAATGGAGAGTACTTTTTGAAGGTGACTGAAGTTGAAACAGGTACAAATAAATAAGTGCACATTTTTTAATAAATAAATTTTAGGTTGTATAGGTGCCCCCTTGTATTAATGAAACAGTTGTTTCACAAAATCCTGGCAAATATCGGAACTGATGTTTATGACTCCAGAGCAGACCAAGAATATCAGAAACCACCAGGGAAACTGTCATTTGAAAAATTGACTTGGAGGATCAAGCAAATGCAAAAGGGAGTAGGTATTTCAGACCAGATAAGGAACAGGTATAGAAGCAGGACTTCATTTTCACTTCAGTTGGCAATGGCACTGATGTCTGTCACCTGTCATATGTCAAAATGAAACAATGGTTCTGCTAACCCATGTGCCAGTTACTACCTCATTATTGATAGTTGTTGCACCTTTTAAAGATTGACCAATTTTCTTTGTATTTGGTTGTGTGTGTAGGGGTGGGAGTGGGCGTACAAGATGAAAGAAGGTCAAAGAAGAGGGAAAGCAGTGTAAAACAGAAAAGAGCATACTAGAGTTTTATCACATAGCCTTGTAAAAATAATTGAATCATCCATTGGCATTGGATTTTTTTTTTTTACTTGGTAAACACTTTTATAGTGAAAAGGTTTGAAAACAGTTTTTAAGTTAGAATGTTTCCCATACCACAGCCCTTCCAAAGATGAAATATTTAACATTGAGCAAGCTTTTTTAGATGATTGCCCTTGTGAAGCCAGGATAATGATTTTTAAGACATGTCTTGTTTATTTTCACCTAAGATGATATGATGGTGCTGCTTTGGGTAACTCACTTTCTAAACTCTCGAGACAGAAATGGTATTCATTATACAGTTAGACTGTTGGTTGGGATGCATTCTTCCCAGTCCTGGAAAAACCTGTCACCATGTCCTTACTGAAGACTCACAGAGGGCAGAAGGCTCAGTGACTCCACAGCATGCCCCTTCGCATTTGTTGTTGACAACTGCCTGCTTCGACCTCCTTCTCCTCACAACCCTGTCTAAATGGGGTTTATAATCCTTCTTGCCACTCACTCTTTTCACTCCCTGGCGCAGGAATGTTGGATCCTGTTCTCTGTCACCTGTCAGAATCTGTCCTCCTGTCACTGGCTTATATGGACAAGTCAGCCTTCCGTCACATGACCCCAGCTGCTAAAAACAGCTCCGGCTCCCACTCGGAACCTGGGCCTGAAACAATGTCCTCCACCAAAAGAAACATGAAGGACACTTGATCACACAAGCCTTGGAATTATTTCCAGGAAACACTTGTAGAGACCATTCGGAGCACCCTTTCCCTGGCAGTGCGCACGGGGACGGCCAGGAGATGAGCGCATCCTTGAATTATAAGTCTTTTTCCAAAGAGCAGCAGACTATGGACAACTTGGAGAAGCAACTCATCTGTCCCATATGCTTAGAGATGTTCACGAAGCCCGTGGTTATTCTCCCCTGTCAGCATAACCTGTGTAGGAAATGTGCCAGTGATATATTCCAGGTAGGTTTGTTTGGAATGTAGGGGTGGAAAAGATTCCACTGAATCAAGTGCTTAGCTTTGGGGTGAATTCCTTTAGAAAATTTTAAAAAGCTGCATTAATTTTGAAGAAAAACAAAAAAGTTTTAATGATTTGCTTTGTGCTTTGCTGTCAGCCTCCTCTTATTCCCCAATCTAATTTTATTTCAATACTAAGAATCACATTTGTTTTTTAAAAAATGGAATCTGTTTCAAAATTGTAAATGAATTACTATCCAAGATATTAATGTTTCCGTTTCTGGCTGGAAATTTGGGTTATGAAAACATTGGATGGAAAAGTCATCTCATGCTGAAAACGGTACGTTGCAGTTGTCTGTAGGTGAGTGCTGGCTCTGTGTTTTAGGGTCACTTGCCGATAAGGCCCTAAGGGATTATCTTACGGCAACCTTAAAGTAGAAGTTGATGTTGTTTGCAGTAACAGAGAGTGAAGAGTAGTCTCAGAAAGGCTACCTGTGGCATTACTCAATTCCTCTTTTCTTGCTTGGCAAGAACAGGCCTCTAATCCGTACTTGCCCACGAGAGGCGGCACCACCGTGGCATCAGGGGGCCGATTCCGCTGCCCGTCCTGTAGGCATGAAGTGGTTTTGGACAGACATGGGATATATGGACTTCAGAGGAACCTGCTGGTGGAAAACATCATTGACATCTACAAGCAGGAGTCCACCAGGTATGGCTGTTCCATGTATGAACCCTATTTGAAGTTTTATTTATTTGTTTGGTTGTTTTAGTGGGTCAATACACTGAAGCTTGTTTAGCAATCACAGGCTAATTGTTTTGTTGCAAAATGTTTTCCCAGGTCAGTCTTTTCCAATGACAGTGAAAGTTGCTTAGGGGAGAAAAGAAGGGAGCTGGTGACCATGCTAATGTATCAATTTAAGAATGAAGTACCTCAATACTAATCCAGCCCAAAGGGTGATATTGAAAGAGGCATAAGGCTGTCCCACGACACACCTTGTATTATATGCAGTGTAGACATTTCTGTACTTCACAGGTCCTTTGTAGCTCCAGGAAATTATAGTATAGTATAAAACTATAGTATAAAATTTTATAGAAAATCACAGAAATGGCATCTTCCAAAATAGTTCATTCCTAGTTCAAACAGTATCACCTTAAAAGTATCTAGACAAAAATAAAAACATAATTCTCTAACATGTTATGGTATTGACTCTGAAAGTTAAGCAAGGCATAGTCTTGGCATTTAGCAATTTAAAGTTTAGAGACATGAGGAGAAAAATATCGAGTTCAGGTTATGTTTTCCTATCTCTAGATTGTATTAACTGCTCTATTAGCATTTACCTGTTGATTAATTGATATGCCGTATATACTCCAATCATTTTTTAAACAGGGGGGCTTCTTCCTCATCAAGTCACATTGGCTATAGAGTTCCTTTCCTAGAGACAACACTGTGAGAGTTCATTCCTAGAAGTCACGGTGTGCAGAGGCCTTTTTCAATTGCATACAGGTCAGGCAGGTCCACAAAGCTTGACAGCAATATTGAGAACATCTAGAAATGACCTCATTGTGATTCTTACTAGAAGACATGTATTTATGGAACATCTGCAGGGCTCTGAGAGCCTTGCACTCTTGGAAGGAAAGCTGTTTTATAAATCTAACATATAATTATTATAATCACTATGGCTATTAGTTTCTGCTTATGATTCAAAACTAAATTAGGTAGTGCCAGGATATAGATGGAACTGGGGAAGAAAAATGATTGCTGATGATATATTGCAGAGATACAGAGTTGGCTATTTCCCTTGAGCCCAAAATCTCTTGAGAAGAAGGAAAGTACAATTGTTGCTGTTGCTTGGATTTCATTGTACTTCATTACTTTAAAATGCAAATACATGCATTGTCTCTTTAAAAAATTAACCAGTTATTAAGGGAGTATATACAACAACTGATTTAGTGCCTAGTACAGTGCCTTGGACAAAATAGTTGCTCCATAAGTGCCAGCTGATTAAGCAACACCACAAACCTTCCTACTTGTTCTAGTTATTGCAATAATTTTCTGTTTTGCTATTTGCCACAGTGAGAGCTTGAAACATGTGAAATAATAATAACTGTTATGAAATCCAGAGAAAAGGAGACACTACAACTTGTAGCATTAGTAAAACTATAAGACACATTGGTTAACTATAAAGTTTGTGTGGTGCATGTGCCCAAAATAATGCCCAGGTGAACAAATTTTATAAAAGCAATGAACCAAATGTCCAACAATGAAACTCATAGCTGAGTGCAATAGGGGTATTTTGGGGGTTATCAAGCTCTTCTTATGCTATTGTTTCTTAACTTGAGACTTGCCTTTGGGACATTTTCACCTGGTAGCAAAACCACTGGTTGCAAAAAGGCCTCAGGCAAATGTTTGGGCATAAATTCAGTTGTTCCCTAGAGGCTGGGGGCCTTGTGAGCCCAGAACCTGGGCTTCAGGGCATATTAGGGGATCCTGGGATAACTGGTGTTATACAGAATGAGACGGACCCAACTCTGACCCACAGTCAACGGGCTTATGGGCAGAAAGGGGAGGAGCTGGTGAACTTTGACCTTCTACTGAAACACTAGAGATTGTAGGTCTGGAAAAACTGGCTTTCTTATCTAGAATTCTGCATGGTGCTGAACTAGCCACAGTAGGGGCGGGGAATGACAAGAGAAGGAACTGATTTCACGAATATTAATAATGAATGTAATAATTAACTTTAAAATATAGTAAGTAAAATTAGTATGTGCTGAGTATGTGTCAACCACTGTTCTGGGTGCTTTACACATAAATTATATGTAATTCTTGAATTCTCAGAACAATCTTGTGAGGTTTGACTATTATTGTTATTATTACCTTATTAAAAATTTTTAATATATATAATTTTAAACTTTCAAATATTACTACAAGGCCTCTTATTTTAGTGGGATTTCAAGAGGAAACGCAAATAAATAAATGCACGTGTTTATTTAAATTCTGTTATATTTTTATTAGAAGACTGTTAGCCCAATTTTTAGATATTAGTAAAAGCTGAGCCTGAAAGAAGTTAAGTAATTCACCTAAGGCCACAGAGTCCCCTTACGTTGAAGCTGAGCTGGAAGTTAGCTTTAACATCAGTTTGACTCTTAAAGGTACTGCTTGAAATGCCTCTTTAAGACCAGGTGCCCATCCTTCAGGAAACTCTAAGATGGTCCCAGCAACCTCAGAGACCAGAGAGTGCAGCCAACAGACTCCTTGAGCCTGGCCTGCACAAATGCCTGGGGCCCCTGCCAGCACTTGGCACTGAGCCCTGAACCACAGTGTGAGCTGAGCCACCTCATGTCATGAAAGGGCATTTACATCTTTATTCTACATGCCATGTTTGTCCCAAGTCTATTACATCTTTTAAGTTGTCTAAAGGTTGTCATTATATGCTCATTTGTAAGAGGGAAATGCCTCTGGGCCTGTGTTGCCCCCTAAACAAGAAAAACCTACTAAGGAACATGGGAAGTAGTTGTCAGTCTATATTGTTTTTTGAAAAATAAATAATCACAATAAAAAACTAAACATAGAGCCTATGGCTATTTTCACTTCTTCAGTGTTGGCATATACTGAACACACCCAAGTTCTACCACAGCATCTGTGGTTAGAGCTACTGACTTCAGACCAGTGTAGTGCATGCAGGCTGCCTCAGGAATGCCGAGGATAGATGAGCCGCAGCAGCATCACCCATGCCATTTTCCAGTAAATGTGCTCCAGACACTTTCTCCGCATTTACTATGAGGTGGAAACACAGGAGAGGAAAAGTTTTAGAGGTGGAGAAGCCTTTGACCAACCAAAGACCAAATCATCACTCCCAGTCTCTACACAATCCCCAGAAGGCTTTGTCATTTATCAATAATGTCTTTAGGCTATAGTCTGGTCTTTTTACCACTCATGAGTACTAAATGACCCCAGGCTTTCTTCGTATTTCACGGGCCTTTTCCAAACGAGTGGTTTAATGTTAGATTACTGGGAGTACTAATCTGACAAATTCTCTTTTGATTCTCATTCATTCATTCAATAACTATTTACTGAGCACCCACTCTATGCAAGACATTGTTCTGGGCACTGAGGATCGAGCATAGCAGAAGACAGACCATGGTCTCTGCTCTCAGAGGGCTCATATTCTAGTGGAGGAAACAGGCAGACCTGGGAGGACAGATACATTTTCTTGGTTGTGGAGTTTATTTTCCTCTGTTAGCTTCCAGGCATATGACAGAAATCAGGCCAGGAGGTCACCAACTTCATGGGAACACATTGCTGTGACACCAAGCAAAAATTCCTTTTATAAAAGTCAGATTCTGAAATCTTGAAGCTGGCAGTCCATGCAATTTCCTTACCAGACCCAGGATTTCTCTCAGTCTCAAGCATTTGATTTCAACCTAGTGACTTACAGATGTAAATCAGCATATTCCCTGTCTCTGAGTTCTGGGTCTCCACCTACATTATATCACACATCAACATTAGTGGTTTTCGAACATTTTGATTCATGTCTCACAGTAGGAAGTACATTTTACATTGTGATCTAATGACCATTACATACATGGATGGATACAGATAATAAATATAATGAAATACATACTTTGTTTCAGGTTTACATCATACCTGATATATTACCATCATATATTATCATACCATCATATATTATACTCATATGTACATACGTATATGTGTGCAACTGAAACAAAAGTTTCACATATCACACTTGATCCTTCCTACATGTAGTTCACGGTATTGGCTATTCTATTTCATTTTAACAATGCTGGTCACAGCCCCCTAAATTGACTTCATGGCCCATAAAAATTTGCAGTTTTTAAAAAGTAGATTTTGATAACAACTAAAAAAACTATTCAGTTCCAAATCTGAGATACTTCTAAATAACCATATATTTGGGAGTATAAGGCAAGGTTTGGGTTTGTATTTAACTTTTTCAAATACCTCTGAAAACTATCAAAAGCCTCAGTCTTTAGACAAGATATCTAAAAATTCCAGATTTTTGAATGAATAGGCTACATCCACACCTCCCACGACGCTCTCCAGAGGGACTCTAAAGCACCACAACTTGGTGTAAATGTGACCTTGATCATGACACCTAAGCCGTGCTGATGGTTAGGGGCATATTCAGGGTGCTCTCATGTGCTGTGAACTTGGGCTGCTACAGCTGATTCCACTGCTAACAGGTTCTTCTTTAGTAGCAATGACTTGTCACCGTTCCCTCATGGTTTTGATCCTTTACTGCTTGCTTAGCATCTCACTAGCACACACAAGCCCCATATTCCATTATTATCAGCTGCAGCTGGAGAGTTTTGGTTAGTGCTGACCAGCTGGGAAAACTAAAATTTGGGGATTATCTGTGAGATTTGCAGTTCCAAGGTCCACCACGTCCCAGAACAGAATTCTGCATTTTTCTTATTGCCTATTCAGTGTAATTGCTCACTTTCACTGAGCACATATACCCACTCTTAACCACTGTCAGGTCCTCAGGAAGTTATTTACATTGAATTTTTCTGGGTGAATGGCAGGAGTTCTCTTGAGAAACTGGTGGGATGGGGAGACAGTACTAGAGCATACTCCGAACTTTCAGGAACTGCACTAGCTGGTTTTTGAACCTTCAATACCTTGAAATCTGCCTTACTTGGAATATTCGCACTACTGAGGTTGGCAAATGCTACAGATCAGCGTCTCCAATCCCCCATCCCCACCCCAGGCTGGTTGTTAGAGGCTTGTCAGAACATTACTGCCACATTTTCAGGGAAACTGAATATGGTCGGCTCTGGGAGCCTCTGGAATGCAGTTGCTGCTGACCCAGGGGATAGCTGGGGTTTGCAATGCTGATCACCCATCTGGGCTCTGCTTCAATGGGAGCTGAGGCTTTTTTCTGCTGCCTCCTTCCAGACCAGAAAAGAAGTCCGATCAGCCCAGGTGCGAGGAGCATGAAGAGGAGCGCATCAATATTTACTGTCTAAACTGCGAGGTGCCCACCTGCTCTCTGTGCAAGATCTTTGGGGCACACAAGGACTGCCAAGTGGCACCCCTCACGCATGTGTTCCAGAGGCAGAAGGTAACAGGGCCCCTCCCCTCCCTCCTCCACAGCCCCTTTCAAGTGCCCTTGTGATTGGCTCCCTGCTACCAAAGGGGGACATCCAAGCCGCGTGGGGACACAGGGCCTTGAGACAGGAAGGGCAGAGGATCAAACTGGATGGGATGCTACGCATGTGTGGCCACATGGTTGATTCTCTGAAGGGTGGTCTGGAAGGCCAGAGAGGGAAGGGATGAGGAAGGTCAAGAAGGAGATTGAAGGGGAAGTGTCGCTGTTTTGGAGCCCTTGGCAGGTTGCTGAAGATGAGCAGCACTGTGGGACTCTCAGCTCAAGCTGTTCACACATTATTTGAAGTTCAGACTACAGATAAGAAGAGGACAAGTTTTTACTCCAGTCACAGAGTACTTTTCTTCATTCACCAACAAAAGGTTCCTTTTACCCCATCCCCACCAATCCACCCACCTTGTCTTCCTCACTCTAGTTGGGAAGAGATACAATGAATGGCATTTTATTAAAGAACAATTTTAAAACAGTGCATTGTGCTGGCCCTCAAGGCTAGGTGAAAACCCCCTCCGAGCCTTTCGCCCTGGACCAGTTGATATAAGGTCTTCTCGTTGTGCCCCGACTCCAGGGCCTCCAGGCTCAGTCCCCTCATTCTGACCAGATGCAACATCTCCTTCAGTCTATCACTAACCTGCCAATATGGCTTCACCCATGGACAGGAAGAAACTTATCCATTTGATCCAAATAAACACAGAGTCCTGTGCTCAAATAGGTGCAGCCACTCTAGGCACCTAGGCTTTGAGCAGCTCCACATCTCTGATTCTTTCTGTTAGAATTATAGATTCCACATTGGTCACTGTTTCGCTGTGAGGATCAGAGCTGGCATCAAATTTAGAAGTCAAACTTTTGGGCAACACCAGTTCTCCCCGGTGAGCACTAACTGCTAAAGAAGCAGAATTCATTAAGACATCTATTGATATAACACTTAATTTTCAATCCACTTACAGTTTATTCCTTCTTTCCTTCCATCCATGCCCGCAACTCTTAGTGTGCTAGGACAGAATAGGACCAGTTTCACCTGCTTCCCTCAGAGCCCTGGAGACTCATGTGGGATGGGCAGAAGGACAGATGGCAGGACTTCTACCCCGCTCCTGTGTGGCCAAAGCAGCTTCACTCTCATCTATTTCTTCTATTTGAAGAAAGGGTTCTGCAGCCTTAAACTGTTTTACAACCACTGCTCTTGTCACTTAATGTGTGAGAAAATTCGATGACATGTTTTGCCCAATATCATAAAGAAGTTAAAGGCAGAGATGGACCAAGCCGGTCTCTCCATTCTGTGTCCCCTGGTGCTCCTTAGGCCAACCTTGGGAAGGGAGTAAGCACAAACAATGGAATCTCCTTGGGTCAAGAATCTGAGAGAAATGTCCCCTAGAAACAGCTGCAGGTTAGTAGTTTCAAGTTTGTAGTGACTTAATCTAGTATATGAGTGTGTGTACACCTAGCACATAGAAGGTGCATTAAGTATATGTTGAATAACTATAAGTGAATGAATGAATGAGTATTTACTATATATATTTTTCCCTAGTAAAACTGATCTTCAGCTACACTCAGCAAATACTTTATTTTGGGTCCATGATGTCACATATTGGACTCCATTCAATTTATAAACAATACTTAGAATTCTTCAGCTTAAGCATGCTGTTCTTCTATTGCCTATAATTTAGCTTCTTAAATGTTTTAGCAGGGTCACAGTCAGTTAAGAATTTGATGAAAAACATGAAACCTCTTCCCACACAAGTGCATTTCTATACTCATCCATACAGAAATTTATTTACAAGATTAGGATGTTCATAAACCTCTCAAGCCCCACTGTTACTCCTTAGGGTTTTACGGATCCCAGATTAAGAACCCATGAGGACGATACGGTGATTAATCCATAATCAGTGCTGACTAGAAAACCCCTAAGATCTTGCGCCCCTCTTTTCTCTTCATTAGTCTGAGCTCAGTGATGGCATTGCTGTCCTCGTGGGAAACAATGATCGAGTCCAGGGAGTGATCAGCCAGCTGGAGGACACCTGTAAAACTATTGAGGTAAGTCAAACTCCACAGGAGCATAAACCCAGCCTGAACTCCTGGGGGTGGGGCTTCCTCAATATCACACTAGAAATCCCCATTTCAACTTTTCAATCTCTCTTTATCGAATGACCTCCTTCCTGGTATGTCTCTAAAATATTCACCTTCTGGTACAGGAAGAGAGGCCACCACATGAGTCAACAAGGCATATTTCACCACATTTACTAGGGTTTTGTTACATGTGTTGCTCTTTCTTGGTCAACCCATTTTGAAAGACTGCCTACAAGAAAAATTAATTCCCAATAATGAAAATGAGCGTTGTCTGTTTTCATAGCACGATTCCTTGGTGGAAGCCCAAATGGTCTTAAGAAATGCTAGGTAGTGCTTTAGGAATTCACGTGCAGGTTTGAGCTGCACATCCGTGCTCTGACAGTACGGCTGCAAAGGGCCAGCAGGAGAAGGGAGCTCTGCCTGACCATGGTTACAGAACGGTTCAGTACCTGGAAGCTCATGGAGGCCCGAATTCTGGTTCATTCAACTCTCCTTGACCTCTTCCTGGCCCAGTACCTGGCACATAATAAATACTAATGAAAATTTGGTGAATAAATGGATGAATGGCTGACTATTTAGCTCCCACTTAGGTTTGGCATGTGAAAAACACGGGGAATCCACTTTTTCTCAAGGTCAGCTACAAACTGTATAATTGCTGAAGTCAAAATGCTGAAGCCTAAAATGCTTTAGCTCTGTAGCAGATATCTTTTTAAGACAAAGATTCACAGACTAGTTCAGCCATGCTGCAGGGGGGCAGGTGTCAGACATCTGGGTCTCTGGCTCGGTACCCTGAAGCCCTTTATTCCTCCCCACCGATCTCAGTTTTGGGGTAATTTGTTTTTTCAGTTGGACTTCAGGTGCAGAGAGTTGATGTTCTTTACTGCTCAGTTCATGGCTTATTGTCTTCATATCTGTGGGCAAGATCCCTCTTGTTATTTATTTATTTCCTTTTATCCCCATTTCCCACTCCTGTTCTCTTCTCTGTAAATAACCACTCTAACATGCTTGATGTTCTGTGCACTTGTATTCTTATAAAACGTGTACTATTTTATATGCATGTCTTTTAATTTTATAAATGGCATTGTATTGTATTTCTCTTTCTGCTTCTTATTTTTTTAAAAAAGCTAAGCATTATACTTTTAAGATCCAGTCACATGTACAATCTTTCAGTTTTATCATCTGTAAAAGTGATGTAATCATAGTACCTACTTTATAGTTACTGTGAGAAATTAAATAAGCATAAGCAAAATGCTTAGCACAGTACCTGGCAAAAGGTAAGTGCCCTAGTCTTATTATTTTATCATTAGAAAGGCACATTCTATCAAAAGCCAAAGGCTATTTCCTAGATGATGACTTCAAGACATTGGCCATAATCTCATTATAAACTTACACATAATTAAAGTCAGTCTCTTGTCTTCTCCACACTCATAGTCCTATTAAAATCCATGATAAATCTGGGATCCATTTATAGAAGCAAAGTTTTCTCTTGTGAAAAGCTCAGGGTTTGTGAAAAACTCAGGGACTGTGAAGTGAACAATATAAACTTTTTTCTTTTTACTTATTTACAGTAAAGGCCAAATACAAATCAATCATTAAGTCATGAATCAGCACTCCAGTGTGGTCCCACAATGAGTCTTGAGTGTATAAATAGGGGTGTGTTGCTAAGTAGGCCGGTGACGTGATCTATACTCATCTCCGGTTGGGCCTTGGTCAGAGACCTCTGTTGTGGGAACAGGCTTTCTGTCGGGGACTTTTAGGCTGGGGAACAAGTACAGGAGAAAAGTCCCGTGAGCCACAGTTGGCCCTGAGCAAATGCAAACAGCTTGGCTCCATTTAGCCAGGGTCAGAGGACAAGGAGAGGGCAAGGCGAGATTTGACAACCTGCTTTGTTCCTGGAGGCTCAAGGGTACAATAGGAAGCAGCTGTTTTTTCTTCCACTGAGAACAAGACCAGAAGGAACAGGTTTGAAGTTAAGTCAACAGAAGGAATTTAGTGCAGATGTCAGGAGGAATTCCTTGGCAGTGGCCATCAGGATTATTACCTCTCTAGTTACTGATAAAAACATTCATCAAACATAGCACACTTTTATAAGTACTTTCTCAGGGTGCTAGAGGAGGGTGTGTGATTGTTGCCAGCAAGGCTTCAAGACAAGACTGTAAATTGGCAGGAGTCTTGAAAGGGTCCATCCCTTTTACCTGTTTGTTTCACTTCTTGGGTTTTACCTTAAGGAAATAAATTGGAAAAAAAAAAAAACACCAGCATATAAAACAGGATGGAATGCATGTATTCCTAAATAACTCTATGTACATTCATGGGGCAGCAGGGGCGGCGGCGGGAGGAAACTCCAGAAATCAAAGGTTAAGGGCAGTGAGTAGTGGGAGCACAGGTGATTTTCAATGCCTTCTTTATATATTCCTGCATTCCACATTTTTCTAAAGTGAACCTGACATTTTCAATGCCCAATAAAATAAATAAGGAATGAATGAATGAATATGGCTCAGGTAAGCACAGTTCTTTCAGAACAGTTTAGTTGGCTCATCTGGAAATGCAGGGGTAGGCTCAGACCCCACGGAGGTCTCTGATTCTATGATTCCACCTTGATGCCAATATCCCCCATTTGAAGAGGCCCTGAGGACAGAGACAGTGCCACAAAATGGCCACACTGTGCGCACCTGTAATCACTAAGGTACTCTCCTGGAGAGGTAGGGCCTTATCAGTGGACAAAGCACCAGAGGCTCACTTCTGCCAGTCAGGAAGGCAGCTAGTGAAACACACTGGGTCCTTGGCTCAGAGTGAAACGGACCTGCCTTGCCAAGAAGGTGAATTCTGTACCCGGGGTCAGGACCACAGAGCTCCTGTGTCCCCTGTTCTGCCTGGGGTGGTTGTTTCCCTTTCTGGCTCCGCTCACCACCCGCCTGGAAACGTTCTCTGAGAAGCCTTTTGGTGGCTGCTGACCGGGGGTGGGGAGCTGCTGTTAAAGAATTCTCCTTTCTGATTGGTGAGGAACCCCTGAGGGATGGGAAATGGAGTAGCCCCTGGGGTGGGCTCTCTCCTTCCCTAACTACTTCACCTCTCCCTGTGAGGGGCCTGACACCTGCCCCTTGGTCAAGTGCCTGTTCCCTGCACATGTCTAATTTTGTCCCTAATCATGCAATGTCTTGCAGGGCTGGTCTGGGCAGGCACCTGGCCTAGGACTGGCCTTGGACAGCTGCTGAGTTCAGGGGAAATCATACCGTGGACTCCTTGTTATCCTTTAAAAATAATGTATCCAGTTAATGTGAGTTTACATTGACCATACGAGTGGCACTGAGAAGGAGTGTAGTCACCGAAGGGCAGTCCAAACTGTGTCAGAAGGGGAGCGGCACTTTCCTTTGTAGCTGTGGTCTGATGCAAGATGAAGAAGCCTTTATTCCTTCTCCCTGTCCTGGTGGATTGTGGCTCAGCCTGGGGCATTCCCAGAGCTCTGGATTGCAGGGCACTGGAAGGCCTTCTGGGCTCTTCTAGTGGAGCCCAGCATGGTCTGGGGCTACCTTTGTCTTTCCAGGCCCAGAGCTGTTCTGGGACAGGCTGGGCTGAGGACGGGCTGCTGGAGTGCGTGGTGAAGTGTACTGCCTCAGAGCTCTCTGTTTCCAGGCAAATGTGCTTGACTTTCATTCTTCTCCCTAGAAAATATAACCTCCCTCTTATAGTCTTTGTAAATGGCCCCAAGAGAGCAGACTATTAATACTGACCCTCCTGAGGCAGGTGGGCAGGCAGGCTAGAAATGACCCCGTTTAGGGGAAACAGCTACAAATTGAATAATAAATATTTGATCTTCAGCATTTGCAATATTTGAAAAAATGAACTTTAATAAAATTCTCCAATGATTTTGCAATGAGAACAAACCACTGTGTTTCCAAAACATTGATTTTACCTAAACAGCTTTGAGACATTGTCCATGCAGTTACAAATAAGAAGTATGGCTATAATAAAAATCATTTTAATAAGCATGCCCTAATTTTTAAGGCATGCCCTAATATTCTAGAGGCAATATAATATGTGCTTAAAAGATAATGCCTTCTTCACAGTGTTGTTGTGATGACTAAATTGGGGTAAGAGGCGCATGCCAGGGGCTTGATAAGTATCACCTCGTATCATCCTCAGAGTCATCTTAGAAAGAGCACACTTACTCTAATGACGTTAGTGGTCATTTAAACCACCAGAGCATGTGTAGCATATTTTAAGTGGAGTCAGAATAAGAATGTCAGGGTCTTGGTCAATTCTGATGGCAGGATAAAGCAACTCTTTGCAGAGGGAAAAATTGAGAATGAGTAGAAGCTCTACCTTTACCTAAAAGGCTTTGCAGTAACTGGAAATATTGGTAACCAACAAAGGCTGAACTTCTTCCAGGGAAGATACTGACTACCCACAGCAGATAGGAGTGAATTAAACAGCTGTTCAGCTTACTGTGGTCTTGTGACTTTTACTGAACTGTGGGTCTCAAGTTAGGAAGGGCTTACCTGGCCCTCAGCCTTCAGGGGGTTTACCTAAGGAGCTTCTAAATGATCTGGACTATTCCAGAAAACCCCTTATGCCAAGAACCCCAGGAGTAAGCATTAGAATTTCCATAAATTATAACAGAATTATGTTTCTAACATAAAGTGGGTAATGACACAATATGATAGAAGAAAAGCATGACTCTGGGAGTCTTGAGATCGATGGCCATTGAATAGGGTTGTTCCAGTGAACACAGCACAGAGACCCCCTCGCAGGCTGGAGAGGGGTGAGCCCAAGCCCCAGTACCTGTAGGCACAGCATTTTTCTAATGTGTCTGTCTCTTCTCTAGTGCAGCCTGGCAGAGACCTGGGTTCTCATCCTAGGCTACACTCATGGGACTTCTTCCAAGTGCTTATAGCCTTTACCAGTGAAAGGTTGGGTTTGATTTCCTCAGGAGAATCTTCCTACCTTAATATAATTCTTTCTTTAGT